GGGGTCAATGGGGGAAAAGGGGGGGACATATGTTAATACTTTAAACGATAAAGAATTATTTTAAAAAATAAAACAGTAGTTCAAGGACACAATACAGCTTCAGGACACAATTCGGCTGGTGAAGCCTGGTGAGGAGGGTGGAGTTTATGTTTGAAAGCTGCTTTTACATAACAAGCACATATTAATTACATTAAGTGCCTTTTTGGGTGAGATGACTGATGAAGATTAGATTATTCCACCCACTCCTTACTCCTTTGGAACTGCCACTGTAGGAAAATCACTTAGGAGGCTATTGCAATTACCCAGCCAGGTATTATAACAGCTGGAACAAAAACAACATCAGTAAGAATTGGAAGGAGTAGACAAATTGTAGAAAAGGACTAATGAGAAATTCAGAACTCTCAGCACCTAACTCTGTCCAAACCCCTGCAGTAAGAGGCTTGCCATACCCTTAGGATGACCCTCAGCTCTGCATTGACCCCAACTTTTCATTAAAATGCTTGTCTGTGCCCTGGCCACTATGGCTCAGTGGTTAGAGCATTGGCCTGTGCACTGAAGGGTCCAGATTTGAATCCTGGTCAAAGGCACATATCTAGGTTACAGGTTCAATCCCTAGCCCCCTGTTGGGGAGCATGTGGGAGATGGAGGTGTCTCACATCTCTTTCTCTCTCCCTCTTCCCCTCCCTACCTCCCTTCCACTCTGTCTAAAAAAAAAAAAATCTATGAAAAAATATCCTCGGGTGAGGGTTAACCAAAAAAAACAAAACAAAAGAAACAAAAGAAGCTTGTCTGAAAAGAAAGCTTGTCTGCAAGGAGAATTACAGTGTCTGATGGTAGGTCCCTGACATACTTTTCTCAAAACATTGGATAAAAAGGGATTACACTTGTATGTATCTCTTACAACTCAGAGTGTCTTTCTCAAGGTCCTGAGAGTCGTGCCCTTGAAATGTAATCATCAGGAAGGTTAGGGCCTCTGTCTTCCAGTATCTGTGGGAAGATAGACTCCTCATTTTGGTAAATGCCAGCTAGCAGACACAGCTGGTTTAATCACATTGAAACAGACCAATCTTTTGTAATTTTTCATTTCTCTGACTCTACTGATCCCTGCCCGCTCCCCCCTCCACCCGTCCCTGTAAAATGTCCAATTGCGCCTGCACACACTGGAATGGAGCTCAGCTTTCCCCCTACTGACAATAGTTATTGAAGAACATATGTTTTCACTGCTTTAACTCAGTGACACTAATCATCATTTAATCTCACTGTTTTGTATGGAGGGCCATGAATCTAAAGTGACTTCCTGGTTTGGGACTTAGGGTCTTTCAGGGAAAAGAACAGGAGCTGGTTTGGAGGCAGCTGGTGGGGAGAAGGAAGGTGATTAGTGAGTGACAGGCTAAGGAATCCTGTGATAAGAGTAGAATACATTTTTCTTGAGGCATTGTAGTTGTGGTGAGAAGGGATTGTATAGGCTGGCAAATGGGGAAGTCTGGGAGCAGAAAGTGCCATGTTCCTATCCAATCACCCTTCTCCTCCCTCCCTTCCTTCTTCCCTTCATTTTCTTTCTTTAAAAAAATATTTTTTAATTGATTTCAGAGAGGGAGAGAGAGAGAGAGATAGAAACATCAATGATGAGAATCATTGATTGGCTGCCTCCTGCACGCCCCACACTGGGGATGGAACAACAACCTGGGCATGTGCCCTTGGTAAGAACCAAATCCAGGACCTTTCAGTCCCCAGGCTGATCCTTTATCCACTGAACCAAACCAACTAGGCTCATTTTCTTTCTTAACAAGTAATATATACATGTGGTTTAAATGTATGTGTATAATTTCATTATGTATACATTTATATAAATATATTTAATGTATACATTTACATATACTAAATATACAAAAGGGCTTAAGATGAAAAGCAAGAGGCACCTAACTTCCTATCCCCTGCCCCTTTGAACTCTTTTGGCCATTTTTTCCTGGTGGTCTCATAATCTAAACATACTAAGTATATACCTATAAACAATCCTTCATGATCAATTTTGGACTTCATCTATTGGTTTTTTACTATGGTATATGAGAATGTATTCCCCTTCAAGTTTTAAACAAGTGGGGAGATAGGTGTGTGTCCTCAGATCCCCGCTGAACCACTGGTCCCACCAATAACTTTCCGTGAGCGCTATGTGGTAGACACAGATGCAATCCGTTCAGATGCTATTCACTCATTTAATGACAAGCTCCGTTATAGGCACTGATAATAATGATAAAAAAAAGGAAGACAGAAATTTCAAAAACAGAAAGATAAAGACAATGCTGGGCCTTCCCCACCAAAAAATCTGAAGGGAGAAAGAGCAGTTTAAAAAAAAAAAAAAAGCT